CACGCGCGTCGCCCCGCTGCGAGCCCTCGGCCTGAGAGCCGGGCGCTGGGGTGCGGGGCTGAGCGCCAGCAGCAGGATGGCTGCTCGCCCAAGTTCCCAGGCGAAAGGGATCTGATCTGCGTTCGAAAACTTTGATTTCATATTGCTGCCACCGGTCATTTATCCACGCTGTGGAAAGGGCTTGTTAAAGCCGAAAGGTAGCGCTTTGCTCCGCATCCTCCCTTCCCCTCCTGAGGAGGAGATGCTTCCAACGCCAGTAGTCGCTGGAGGAGCAACCACTGTTGCTCCCGCATCCTCTGCCACCCGCAAACAGAACGGTAGCGGTGGGGTGTTATTGCGAGAGCTCTTTGAAGACAAATCCTTACAGTGGGAGCTGGAGGTTATTCTGTTACTGAGCTGAAATGTAGCTGAGCTGCAGTGGAGATTGTTCCCTCTGCAGCATCAGCCCTGATTACGGAATACTGGCACGGCATTTTATCAGGTTTTGTTACAGAAGGGAAGTCTAACAAGCCTAATACAAGGCCGGCTTTCAGTCAGGCGAAAGTCGCTGGCAGAGAAGGGTATGATTTGATGCTCAAACCATTTAGGAGGGAAATATGAGACTAATGTACTTGAATTTTGAGACTAAAGGAATCTAGTAGGGTCTTAAGCAGTGGAAATGCCAATTATTTTTTGTTTGTTATGATTTTTTATTCTGAACCTTAATAAACCTGAAAAAAAGGGCCTTGGACTGTTCCTTGCACCTTTTGTACAAACGGTTGTATTTACTGTGCACTAAGTACTTGTTAGAAGTATTTTGGGGAATATGCTGTGAAAACCCTGCCACACCTAAAAGCTATTCTGCTTTATTTCTGTTTGGAACGGAGCAGAGTAGAGAAAACCTTCCCGAGAAGTGATAACAGGCCGCAGTTTGGGTTCTTGGTCTTGCACAGATCTGAAAGCCTAAAATCCTGCTGTGTTGCTAAACAGATAGAGAACGTGGGTTTTCATACTGGTTTCTGGTGACCTGCAGCTAGGCTGATGTCATTCTTCTAGCCGCTGTCAATCTTGTTGACAGTTAATGAGACTATTTTGTTTTTCTTCCAGGTTTTCATTTCAGCGCGGTTCTCCTCTCTGTGGCAAGGGCTGCCTTTTGAAGCAGCACATTCATTCTTCCCTTCAAGCACCATAAGTCTCATTTGCCAGCTCCAGAACCATGGCAACAGAAGAAAAGAAGCCAGATGCAGAATCCACCAAAACACAATCTACTCCTTCCTCCTCAACCAATCAGAGCAAGGTGTGTGTGGGGCTCCGAATAATATCCGTGTAAATATACATGGCAACTAACTGCATATTCAACAGGCCAACTGGAATTGGAGAATTGATTTCTAATATAGAATAAGAGCTTCATATTTCTGCTTTGCCTCGAGCTGAAAATGTGCGGAGGATTTTATGGGAAAAGTGGATAGAATATGGCCTCTTTTGTTGTGCTAGGGGTTGGGGTTTTTTTTTTTGGTTAAGTGGAAGTTCTTGCTAACAAAATACTTGTCACTTTGAGCATTAGGGAGGCAGGTTGTGTGTATCCTTGGAATGCCTGGAGGTGACTGGGGAACTGGTGAATCTACGGTCATAGTTACAAAGTGGGGAGACAGTCATTATTCAGGTTCTTTAAAGCCTGGAGATGCTGATGTCTAACTGTGATGCCTTCGCAGAGGGTGAAAAGAGAAAAATTGGGGTTTTGGTGATATGGAGGAATTGGCCTTTAATTTGATTCATAATGAGGAAGAAACTGGCAAACAATTAAAAGCACTACAGAGATCGGTACCAGGAGTATTTGACCTATGAGCACAGGATTGCTCTCACCTGTCTGTTAACAGCTTGGTTGAGTTTGGTGTGGGTGCAGCAGTAAGGCACTGCTGGCCCTAAACACTAAGGGTGGGGGTGTGTTTGTTTTGGGTTTTTGGGTTGTTTTTTGAATTTGGAGTGGGGAAAATTGCTGGAATCTCTGGTTTGGTGAATGTTCATGCAGACCGTTACTGTGTACTGACCCAGCCTGATGCAGAGCTTGTCACTGAGATACTAAATTCGGAATTTATTCAACTCATTCATATGTATTTTTCTTGCAGCCTGCGCCAGTAAAACCAAACTACGCTCTCAAGTTCACATTAGCGGGACATACAAAGGCAGTCTCATCGGTAAAGTTTAGTCCTAATGGAGAGTGGCTAGCCAGCTCCTGTGAGTATTGCTTTCTTTTTATCTCCTCTAAGCCATGCAAGTGCGGGCCTTGGGGAAGTCTGTCTTTAGTGTTCCCTTCATCAGATGAAGGAGGGATATAGCGCCATGGCTTTTCTCAAAAGGAGCGATACCAAAGCTGTTGGCCTTTGGGATGATCTGTTTTAAGCTTTTTAAATTCTGTTACTTTAAACACTGGATCTTCTATGCATTGCCAAGCTGGAGAATCTTCACTTGTTTGGCTTTCGTTACTGACAAAATGGGCAAAGCCAAACCCAGGATTCTTTCCCTGTGCAGAGGAAACCCTTGTGCTTTTCTGTATCGCTAAAGACGTAGCTTAAGCTTTTAAACTGAACTTTATATACAGCATCTGCATGCAAAAGCTTAGCTCTGGGAAGTAAGGAAGGTAGCTTTGGGCTGCTAAACTGGACTGTAGAGTGTGCTATGGGGGGCTGGCCACGTGCTTTTGTCCTGTGTGCCTGCGGTGTTAATAAGTCAGAGCCTTTGATGACCACAGTGAAATGTGCACAAGGCTGTTTCACTGCTTGCCCTCAAATGGTAGATCAAGTCCTCTTCCTGTCGGCTTTATTTCCTAGATTGTTTTTAGTAGTCATCACTGCTTGGTAGTTTTCCTTTGAAAATGTGTTTATGTGACCCTCAGTGATCCAGAGAGGATCTGTATATAAGGAAAGGGCTGTTGAAAAGAACACTGTTGAATGTGATGATGGGGGCCACTCATACATCTTCCGGATATGGGAATGACTTAAGTCTTTGGCTTAACTGCAAATAGCCTTAATAAGACCGGTGCGGTGTACCTTATAAATCACTTTTATGTCCTGGTTTCCTACTGAAAGTCCCCCCCCCTCTCCCCATCCCAGGTTTTCCAACCTCTGGCAAACATCAACCTTTTTTCTCTGGTGTGTTTTGCAAAATAACATGGATAATATGTTTGGATTTTTACAGACATGAATTCAGTCCAGCTCGTGGTGTAATTTTTGTTCCTTTTGGGCAAAAGCGTTCCTATGGGATGGTACTACTTTTACCACTTGGCAATCTAAAACAAAAGTAGAAACCCAAGTTGTCATCAGAGAAACTAAAGTGGCCAGAGGCTCTGTGCATTCCAGGCAGTTGATGTCATCTCAGCTGCTGCAGCGTGGCGTGAAGGAAACTCTTTACCAGCTACAAATTGCCTTATACACTTCCGTCTGCTTGGGGAGGGAGAACTACCCAGTGTTTGCAGGGACGTAGCTAACACGTTTCTTTCCACCTGGGAGGGACAGCTGTGTCTGAGTGCTGCTCATCTCTTAACCTCCACATTCTCTTCCAGCTGCTGACAAACTCATCAAAATTTGGGGAGCATATGATGGCAAGTTTGAAAAAACAATATCTGGTCATAAACTGGTAAGTATGAAGAGGTTACTGTGCACTTGAATATGAATTGACTTGTAAAGAATTTTGCATTTCCTAATCCAGAAATTTCCGTTCTTGGGTAGTTTGACGTGTGAAGAAGGCCTGTTCTTCAGTGTCGTTTTGTACTTTGTTTAGACAGCCCTGCACAGCAGCCTGGGACTGGAATTGCTGGAGTAACACCAGGTCAAGCTGGAAATACAGGCAGAGTTCTGGCTGTTAATGGAGTACCTGCATGCACACTGCCTGGCCTTTTTCTTGAGTCCCTCTGTTGCAGGAGCACCAACCTCGCACACGGGGCAGTGCGTTTTTGGGTGAAAATCCCTGTGAACTGCAACGCTGTGTGCTGTTCCATCTTTCCTTTGTGTATGGAGCAGAGTGGCTTGCCTTTTAAGGAGATTGAATTTTTCTTGTGGGTTTGCCTACATAAACACCACACTTACTCACTCTGCGAAGTTGTAAAGAAAACAATCTCCCAACCCTCTGGTTTTGTTTTGTAAAATTTCTTAGTTGCTGAAATTTCATAAGCAAAAATGAAGATTCACCAAAAGTAAAACCAGTAGAATCTTGTTCTGCCTTTAGAGACTCAGACCAGGAGCTAGCCATTTGTCATTAAGAGAAGCCACTTACTCAGATGAGTTTATATAGCATACTGTTTCTGAATGCCAAGAAGAGGTGGTGTTAGCTACAGTAGGAGCTGTGTGAACAAGCCATTGGAGTGTTTGGAGTATATGGCTCAGCTAAAAATGAACTCTTATCCCCATCACATCAATGAATTCCCAACTCTCGATGCTGAACTTTCTTTCAAGCTTCAGCTGTGACAACAATATGCAGTTTGTGCTTTCCATGTTCCTGTGTCAGTGAACAAACAGATCTGAGAATTCTTTTCCTTTGTTTCAGGGTATCTCTGATGTTGCTTGGTCATCAGATTCCAACCTTCTTGTCTCTGCCTCCGATGATAAAACTCTCAAAATATGGGATGTAAGCTCGGTAAGGGCAGAAGCTATTTACATTCCTTCTCCCCAGCACTGGCACCTTGCCTCATGTTGTTCTGAGAGACAGCCTTGATGTGCTGTGGTGAGAGAAGGTAGAGTTAAGCGCTAGCTCCTCTTTGGGTAATAC